TAACCCAACTGATCTGGTATGTAATTTGTTCTTGTCCTAGCAGGAAACTCCTGAGTGGACCATGGCTCAATATCTAGTCTCATATGTACTCTCAAGGCTGCTCTGGGAATCCAGACATTGCCAGCCTGTGGAGACCTTTGGCAATCTCCTTGTGTCTGCTTATGTATATACCCTCCTATCTCCTGCTGCTGTTTCTGTGTGAGTTCTGACCTCTCCCTTCCTCTCTCTGGATTCCTCTGGCCTTCACTGGGATATGACCCCTTGCCTTGTGACAGACCCACTGCCCAGGTTCTTTCACCACCAACCCCCTTCCTTGCTGATCTGTATCTAAAACCTTAGATACTGTCTCAGTACTCACAACAGCATGAAGAGCAGGAGAGAAACTCCCCACTGTTAGAAGTTCTACTAACAGGAATTTCTTCCCCACAAACCCATGGGCCCTGCATTTTTACAGGAGCTTAATATATATGAGGTTGCTGTGTCCCATTTCTTAGAATGGTGTTTTTCTGCTGGGTGAGCCCCAATGGCTGCCAGCCATTTAGAGTCCACCGTGGAGGGCTGGGGGTTATTATTTCATGAGGGAAGCCATTTTGCAGCAGTCTTGAAGAGGCTGTAAATTGAGGGAAAGCCATAGCAACCTGGCCTTGCACACCGTCAACATGATCCCTGGCAGCTCGATCTCACCCTTGGGATGATTCCTTTCCCCTAGAATTCTTTAGCATCAGTAAAGAAGCAATTATTTTTTGCCTCACGGTAATATATTTATCTATTTATATAAGACTATATTTAAATATAATTATTAATAATACTAACAATATTATATATCTAAAGGGAAACATACAAACTAATTTTTTTTTACTTTTCCATGATTTTAAACATAAGGACCGAAATTTTCTGCAGACATTTGATATAGAGAACATATTTCTCTAATAATTTTATTGTATTTTATTTTGATGTATATATTTGTGTGGGAATTCCTACTTCTGTGTTATTATTAAGAGGTTGATGTTGCTTTCATAAAGAAAAACCACTATATCTTGAATTTTATCTGCAATTTAAGTAGTCAGAATGTAATACTGAATTATAAATGCAATAATAATTTATGATAGAGGTATATTTAAAAGCAAATAATTCAAAAGCCAGAATGTAAAGCCCCCAAATGTGGTGTTTTGCTCAGCAATGTAAACTTTTTTATTTTAGTTAAAATATATATAACTTTTTTAAAAAACAAATCATTCATAACTTCTTGTGATTTGTAATGAACATGTCTAGGAGAAAAGGGAAAAGTACAAAAACACAAGTATGAATCTAGTGGAAATAGAATTGTTGAACATAATCCATATGTGACAAAATATACTCATCTTCTAAATTGGAAAAAAAATTAAAGAGCATAGTCTGCTAAGCATTTAGAGAAAACATCAAGGAGACTCTATTGGGAACTTTTCAGAATCAAAGAAAATAAGCAAACAATTATTTACTGATACAAGGTGGTAGGACTTGTGATAGATGTTTTATATATATATGAAATCTCATTTAATCTCTACTCAACTTTTATAACTATAAAATTTTATCATCATCTTATAAATAAGGAAGCTGAGAGGTTAGGTAACTTGACCAAGATCACAAGCTAATATGCAGCTGAACTGGGATTTGAAATTGGGTCTGTCCAACTCTGAGATCCATATTCTCTTCCTATTAGGCCCTGCTACCCCCAGTACTGTTAAGCTACTATATGAGTTTAGTGGTATTTAAACTCCTTACTAGTAGGCTTAAAGCCCAACCAGGGTAAAAAGTTGAGAAAGTAAGGAAAAGAGCAGAGAAGTAGAAGGAAGAGATAAAGACAAGGGTGAGACCTATATAACAAGGTAGGATGTCATTCACAATATCCTCACATATTCACCTGCAACCCCAACATCCTTGATTGTTCTCAACTGCCTAAGAAACAGCAAAGCATTATCCTTCTAAAAAGGCAGCATTCCTATATCTATGTTGTGAATATCTCCACATCCATTGCTGGCAATGACTCTCTTTGGACATGTTCTTGGGATGTGACTCACATACAGGTGAGGCTCACTTTTTTTGCTTTCCTCAACAAAACATTTTATACTGCACTTTTCTTTTACTATTTGGTTTCCTCCTATCTTCTTCTAAATTCCAGGAAAGATAGGTCTAAACTCAAAAATTAACTCCTGAATATCTTCATCTTTAATTCTGTAGTCATTTGTTTGGTGGCTTTTGTAAAATCATTTTGTTCTATATTCTCTGAGATTTAAACGAAAAGGCAAACTTTTTACTCTGAAGAGTATCAGACTTTGAGAAATTTTGTTGTAACATATCTTGAAGAAATTATGTCTTATCAAGAGCAGATTCTGTGGCAAATATTCTTTACTTGGTTTTGTCCATTCTGGGTGCTGGAATCCTGTCTCCATTCATTAGATATAGTTGTTCCTTGATGTGTAATTAATTTAGTATTTTCTGATGAGGACAGTGAATATGATGGTTAATATTTATTGATGATTTATTGAGACTTACTTAACTCCCTAAGAGAACTGTATTCAATTTGCTGTATGTATTTATGTGCTATCAACTCAATGGAACAACAAAGAACATAGAATAACACCATAACAGAACATTCTGATCTTAGTCTTATTAAGAATTATCTTTTTAGGTGCTAACTACATGCCATATACTGTAATATGTGCTGTATTACATTATTTCATTTAAACCTCATAACAACCCCATTGGTGAGGAATGCTATCTGTCTATAGATAGAGATGAAGGTGGCCGTGCTGGGGTTTAAGGTCAGGTTTGTCTATGTTGAATTTCCATTGAGAACCATTTCTATTTGATTCATGTCTCTCTTGCCCTATGCTATTACATGTTTTGTGTTGGGATATCTATATCTTGCCACAGACCCTTTTTCACAAATGACCAGGAGCAAAGTAAGGTCTTTAAATAATGAGTCTGGGGAAATATTTATACAATACCGCAGTTTGTTTCTTTAACCCAAATTTGTTTAGCCCCCTTTGTGGCAATTGGCATCTCTCTGCCCATGTGGCTGCATTCTCAGACATGCTGCATGTCCAGATGACAGGCATCAGAACTCTTGGCAAGAAGAGAACACACTGAAAATGGTCCCACATTTGTGTGAGGCCAGGACAAGTCTTGCGAAATACCATTGAACCTTATCTAATTATAGTACATAGAAATGGTATACTTAACAATTTTATGGGCCATGACATGTTGTTATAATATAATAGAGGTCTACTCTGCCATGAAAGCAGAGAGTGGAAAAATTAAACCTAGATTGCAGAATCTGGGCTGGCTCCTTGTTGAATATGGGATTGGAGCCAGACCTTGAAAGACAAGAGGGCTTGCATACAAAGATCGGAAGAGCAAGCATATTAAGAAAAAAGCCTCAGATGCCAGCAGATAAATTGTATTTAAATACTGAGTGTACTGAGGTCTTCATATTTATCATCTCATTTATATCCTCCAAAACTCTGAAACTTAGGTAAATATGATTCCCATTTTACAGATGAGGCAATTTAGACTCAGAGTAATATATATATATATATATTTTTTTTTAAGATTTTTATTGGGGAATTGGGGGATGGGAACAACGGTGGGAAATTGGGGGAAGGGGAACAGACAAGTTGCTGTCCTTTTGTTCTTCAGTCTAGTTATGGAGGACGTCGCTTCACTGGCCCAATTTGGCACCATCATTGCGCTCTTCCCGGGCGAGGCAGATCAGTCGCCGGCTTCTGGACGGCTGCTCACTGCGGCTGCTGCCTCTCATGCTGGCTGCTGGCCACACACGGTAGCCCATGGCAACCCACTGCTGCAGGGGCTGCAGTCTATGCAGACGCCGGTGACTCTCACGGTAGCCAAGCTCCAGGTTGAGCTGTTGTTCAGCATCTTAGCTGTAGAGGGCAGTGTCACTGGCCCTCATATGTGGGATCCGAACCGGGGCCCTCTGGCATCCCAAGCCAGTTCTTAACCATCGTGCCACTCGGCCGGCCCCAGAGTAATATACTTTAAGTCACATTAGTGATAAATGGAAGAGCTGGATTCAAATCCAGTCCATGATCTTCATCCTGCCCTAAGAACATTCTCTATGCAGGTTTGCAGATGGGTGGGAAAATGTATAAACTGCGAAGAAATAGCAAGTATATGGATGTGACTGTATGTTGAAGGAATATGCATATATGTAGGTGAGTTTCTTTTTATTCCATGGAGTGGAGTGAAGGGTGGAGTAGGGGTGCAGAGGAGAGTGTTTCTAATAGGTCTGCATAGTTTTGCAACATGGATTCAACTTTAATGGTGAACTCAACAATTGTTTTTAAATTAAATTTATTGGGGTGACGATTAATAAAATTACATAGGTTTCAAGTGTACAATTATGTAATGCCTCATCTATATATCACACTGCGTGTTCACCACCCAGAGTCAGTTCTCTTTCCATTACCATATTTTTTTATCTCTTTTACCCTCATTTACCACCCCCTCTTACATTCTGGTAACACTAAACTATTGTCTGTGTCAATGAGTTTTTGTTTCTTCATTTGTTTGTCTTGTTTCTTTGTTGCTTTCAGTTTATATCTCACATATCAGTGAAGTCATGAGGTTCTTGACTTTTTATATGTGACTTAATTCACTTAGCATAATAATCTCAAGATTCATCCATGTTGGGACAAATGGCAGTGTTTCATCTTTTCTTATGGCAGGGTAGTATTCCATTGTGTATATATACCACAACTTCTTTATTCAATCATCTATCCAAGGACAGTTTGGTTGTTTCCATGTATTGGTCATTGTATACATTAGAACATAAAACTAGCCTCATCAAATTTAAGAAGATTGAAATCATACCAAGTATATTCTCTAATTGCAAGGCTTTGAAATTGGATATCAACTGCAAAAAGAAAGCAGGAAAAACCTAACAATTTTCATTGAGTCTGTTACTAATAGGAGATTCTCCACCCCACCTCATCTTTTAGGTACTTTTGCCTTGACATCCTTAATATCAGCCAATGCAGTGGAACGGCTTGTCCCTTCAAGTAACAAGAACCTCACCACACAGAGTAACACAAGCATGCTGGGCTTATCTGATTTTGAGATGCAAAGGATTGGTATTGCTGCAGCCATTTCCTTCTTGGGAGGTGTGATTCAGGTAAGTAGTACTGAGATATGGGGATGAAGAAATTGAGACAATGGCAGAGGAAAGGCAATTGATGCTTTATTTTTATTCATGTTCGTTGGTGTGTCTGTGTAGATGGATAGGGGCAGGTGTGTTTTGTTTTTCTGAAAATACTGTCTACTACATAGATTACTTACTCTATAAATGCTGGTTGAGTTAATGAATTAGAATCAATAAATTTAAATTACAGGGAAACAGTTTTTGACTTTATAAGAACAAGATTTCTAAAAATGTTTTACAAAATAGAATGAGGCAGTCCTTGTGTTGACACAGTCAGGAAAGTGTCACCGTGGGGTAATGTTGTAGGAGAAATTCCTACAAGGAGATGACTAAGTTTCTAGGATCCTTCCCAATTTTCAGAGTTTATGATATTACTGCCTACCTACATCAGTAAAAAATTTTTATTTAGTTTGTGCCATAGACTTGTTGGTGTGAGGTGTTGGGACACAGATTTTTATCAGTCTTTGCCCCTTTCAGCATCAGGTGTGTACATTTTTTACAGGTCTGCTCTAGTCTATTTCTTCAAAATATAAAACTTTGTAATTTGCTGTTTCTAATAAGTTGTCAAAATTAGATAACTCAGAAATGAATAAAAAGAAATGTTGACAAGTACTGGCTACTAGATATGCATTGCCTGTTTGGGAGCTATATTGGCTTACTTCCTCATTTTAAATTGAATTGTGTGCACACAAACTTCCTGGATGGCTGTTTTCTGAGTTGGTAGAAGCTCTATTTTATAGTATACCATTATTCACAAGGTAAAAGATAGTGTAAATGCCAAGAAGGGAGAAAAATAGTTGATGATTGCCTTGACTTGCATGGTAGGAAGAAAAGATAAGACCTTGATATTAGGAACATTAAAATTCTTAGAGTCACTTTGCCTTCTAGCTATGTAAAAAAGGACAAAAGAATTAAGGGTGTGAGATGACTAAGAACTCAAGTCTTCACAGTACTTCAGAAAACAGACCATCTGAGTGGCAGCTTTGCCTAGGAGATTACCAAAATAGAAGGTCAATAGATATTTTCTATGGCTGATGTCTGTGCTTTGATGAACTACAACTGGTTGCCTAGGTACCCTATAACCTTTGCTATACTGTATATTTTAAAACATGGATGATAGACTTGTGCAGGAAGGCTTAGTGGCATTTTCCTCATTACTTGCCCTGTGTGAGGCCTACTAATAGACCTATCATCTGTATCCATCTCAGAAATAATCAGCTACATGAACTGGTGATTCAGATATGGATACGTTGCCATAGATTTAGTTTTCCTAATTTCTGCTTATTTAAAAGTCTCTATTAACACAGCAAAGATAATATTGCTATTACTTCTGGTTTCATAATTTTCCATACATATTTCTTTTTGAATTTGTTATTTTCACTAGATTTGGACTTTCTTTTATTCTTTAATCATGGAACAAGTATATATTAGTATTTTTAAAATATTTTTATTGGGGAATTGGGGGGATGGAAACAGTGCTGGGGAATTGGGGAAAGGGGAACAGAAAAGTTGCTGTTGTTTTGTTCTTCAGTCTAGTTGTGGAGGACGTTGCTGCACTGGCCCAAGTTGGCACCATCATTGTGCTCTTCCCAGGTGAGACAGATCAGTCGCCGGCTTCTGGACAGCCGCTCACGGCGGCTGCTGGTCGCTCACGCTGGCTGCTGGCTACACACAGGAGCCCATGGCAACCCACTGCAGCAGGGGCTGCAGCCTACATGGTCACTGGCAACTCACAGCAGCCCAGCTCCAGGTTGAGCTGTTGTTCAGCATCTTGGCTGTAGAGGGCATGTCACTGGCCCTCATATGTGGGATCCGAACCGGGGTCCTCTGGCGTCCCAAGCCAGTTCTTAACCATCGCGCCATTTGGCCGGCCCATATTAGTATTTTTTTTTTTAGTGTAAGAGAATATATAATTAGCAATTAGATCCAGCAACTTTCTGCTTAGCCTCATTTTAACCATTTTCCAAATGTTTAAAACAATCACTAGGTATTTCATTATTATCTAGCATATTTGGATTAAGAATTTAAATTATAAAATATAAAAGTAGAAACCAGGGTTTTAACAACATAAAATATTAATATCTCATTCCCTGAATGAAATGCTCTAGAATCACAAGAGTAAAATAAGATATTATTAAAGATAATAAAAGTAATTCAGTTTTCATGGCTTTTTTTTATTGTGAAATAAACATTTTTAAAAAAATTAGTTTCAGCTGTACAACAAACTGAATGAGCAAGCAAAGTAATCAGAAATGTCTCAGAGATATATGGAGGAACAACTGATGGTTGCTAGTTGGGGGGGGTGGGGATGAGGGAGAAAGGGAAGGAATTAGACAGCATAAATAGATAACTTCATGGTCTTTTTTTACATGTAAAATCTGATCCAGAGAGTGGCAACTTCAAACATCTGCTTTCCCTTGTCCTTAGTGCTGATACTGGATACTCGACCTATATTTTAGCCAATTTTGAAACAGTTGGCTGGACCTTATTTGACCTCCAAACTTATATGTCCATTGTCAACCATAACACTAGAGTCAGGTGGATCTTTTGGATCCAACTCCGCAGTCATTTTTCCCTTTCTCCTTCAGGTCTGAAATCCATTGAACATGAGGGCAATGTCAAGGTATCCAGTTTCTGCAAACACAGAAAAGTGTTTGTTTGTTTGCCTTGTTTTATTATTTATTTATTTATTTATTTATTTATTTATTTATTTGTGTTTTGCTTGTACATTATTCATTTTCAGGTTGATTTTTTCCCCCTCTGAACGTGTAACTGATGGAATTAATTAGGTTAATACGATTATATTAAGGTATTTGAAACAATCACATCTGGTCTGGTTCACAGATTGTATATCAATTGGAAATGGTCTCAGCTGAAAATAACAGAATTCTACCATCAGAGGTTTATACTATATAGACATTTATTGCTACTTGTGTTACAAGAGGTCATAGAAAGAGTTTCTTAAGGGTCTTCAATGTCTGGCAATCCATTCAACTGATGAACTAACTGATCTGCTTTTTTAAATTAAATAATAATGACTGTGACTTTCCAGTGCTCTTCCTTTTATGCCTTCTCTTCTGGTAATTTACACATAAGTTTCTTTCCTATATTGTAGCTTTTATTTGCTTATTTTTTCCCCATACACTTCTTTCTCCATTTCTTTATTTGATGTACATTCCTTAACAGTTTTAGCGATTCTTGTATGCCTATCTCTTTAATTTTAATTTGTCTTATGTTACTTTTAGAAGAAAGTGTGACATAATACTAATAAAGGGATTGGAATTAAATTAAGATGTATACCTACAGCAATCTGTCTTTATCCATTTATCTATCAGAATTTTGGCCTTTTTCTCCTCTAATTTTAGAAGTTCTTAATAGATTACAGATATTAACCCTTTATCTGTGATATATGCTGCAAATTTTTCTTCTAATTTGGCAGGGTTTTCTTTAGTTTATTTTACAATGAAATTTAAAAAAAAATTATGCACTCAACTTTATGAATTGTTTCTTTTACTGGCCCTGGATTTTGAGTAGCATTAGAAAACTTTTTCCTACCCTGAGTTCATGGAGGAATTTACCATATTTTTTTCTAGTTAAATTTATTAAATTATTTTCATATATATATATATATATATATATATATATATATATATATTTTTCCATTTAGTCTCCAGATCAGTGTAGCACTTATTCTTATGTCTGGTATGAGATATGGATCTAGTTTTTTTTTTCCAAGAAGCTTCCCAGTTATGCCAGCAACATCTTTACTTCCATGATTTAAGATGCCACTTTTATTTAGTCCATATTTATTTACCTCTATCTCAGGACTTTCTATTCTATTCTACTGATCTGTACATCTATTCTTGTGGCATTAGCACCCTGTTTTAATTATGGAGACATATAGTATGGTTTAATGTCTGGGAGGACTAGTCCACCTTTGTAGTTTTTATTTCTTAGTGTGTTCTTGACTATTTCTGCATGTTTATTTTTCCTTATGAACTTTAGCATCAACTTTTCTAGCTTTCTAAAATAAGAGGTTGATATTTTTAATGGGATTATGTTAAATTGAAATCTTTATGATGTAGAATTGTCCTTTCCAAGAACAGAGACGCCCTTCCTTTTCTTCAAATCTAATTCTATGTCTTTCAGGAGTGTTTCCCCTTATAAGTGTTGCACGTTTTGTCAAATTTATTCCTAAGTATTTAATCATCATTGTTGCTATTATAAATCAAGCTTTCTTTATCAATATGCCCTCTAGCTGGCCATATTGTGTCTATGAAAACTATTGATTTTTGTATGTTAATTATATCTCCTGGTACCTTATTGAGTTTAGTATTTAAATTATTTTTACTGTTCATTGATTCTCTAGTATTTCCTAGAGATAGTTTTACTTCTTTACAAATTAGTATAACCCATGATTTCTCTTATCCAATTATAGTAGTTAATACCTCTATTATAATGTTAAATAATAGTGGAAATGGTGAGCATTCTTGCCTTTTCTTAAACTTACTCAAAATGTCATTACAGTCTCCATTAAGATACTAGCCTTAAGACTAGTGTATATATTTTAACATATTAAGAAATTATTTACTCTTTTATACTTTTGTGTTTTCAATGGAAATTACAGAAAGTATTGAATAGTGGTATGTGCTTTTTTAGCATGCATAGAGATAATCATATGATTTTTTTCTCTTAAGTTTATTAAATGGTACATTAATGAATTTTCTAATATTCAACCAACCTTAAGTTGATTGAATAAATACCACTTAATCATGGTGTATTTTATTTTTAATGTGGTTTAAATTCTGCTTATTTAATTTTTTACTTAGTACTTTTGCATCATTTTTCTTCAGTGGTATTATACTGTAGTTTTCATTTATGTGCTTTTTATCAGATCTAATTATCAATGTTTTACTTTCTTCTTAATGTTCTTTTTCAATGCTCTCAAGCAATGTACATCACTTTTGGAGCAT